GAAGGATTGTTAAACAGTGGGCTTTGATAGCCAGATTTATCATCCTCGGGGCTGAATTCCAGTTCCGCTGCAATGTCAGACAACAAAGTTTGGATTTATTGGAGGGGTAACACGCTTCCAATTATACCTCGAAACTACCCTACACTCAAACCCACCTTGGCATCATACAACCTACTCATTTTAAAAAAAACGTGGAATTTTTTAGTCGTGTTAGTTCTTGGCAAATTTCACTAATCTTGTATTTACGTAATCTTAGAATCACACGAACGAGGCTTCCGCAACCATATGCTCAATGCCGAGCACAGAAACAAACTTTTCCCAGGCGGGAATCGAACCGTGACCCTTCAGCCACGGAAGGCACACACACATACGGCCATCAAGTGTCGCGGTATTATGTAAAGAAGAAAAATAAACAATAAAAACAAAATTCAAGATATACTAAACAAAAAAATAGGATAATAACTGGGTAATTTTTGCCAACATTAGGTAAGATGGGCCCACAGAAACACGCAGAAGCACGCGCGCGCACACTGCGCGAATTTGCAGGCGGCTTCGTGTGCTGGCCCCACGACACATTAACAAGATCCGGCCGCTGACAGCCCCCGCCCTCTCAGCGCTGCTGCTCCCCACGCGCCGCCGGAGCAGGCGGCGGCCCGCGGGGAGGGGGCGGCGGCCGAGGAGCGCGGACGGCGAGCACTCGCCACACGCGCGACGCCAGATGCGCCGCGGCTCTCGGGTGAGTCCCTCCTCCTTCTACGGGCGTTAGAGCAATCGCCTTGCACGTGGATGGCCGGGTCGCACCACGCGCGATGAATTTAGGCTAGACCAGACATTGTTGCTCGATCGACAGCTATGACCTTAATCTTTAATTAAACAAAATCTGGTGTAAAGTACATCTAATTCAATTATTTAATACATGAATTGCTTTCACCAATGTCGTAATCAGAACTCCTTCTTTTTTTCATATCATCATTCCCGTCATCATCCTTGCCATACTCACTTTCTTATCGTTATCACTTATCATTATCATAAACATACATCCATCTCAGCCACAGCAAGTCTTTATTCCTTTCTATCTTTTTCAAATTTAATTCTCTCTCTTCATTATTATATAAATCTCTCTTATCTTTGTTCCCTCTTCATATCTATGCTCTACTCGTCTCATCTCGTCATATTTCTTTCGGCTCTTCTTGTTTCTTTTTTTGTTCTTTTCATATGTTTTTCATTTGTTTTTCTCTTCATTGTTTCTTTCATTGTTTTTTGCATAATGTTCTTTCATTGTCTCTTTCATTGTTCTTTCATGGTCTCTTTCATTGTCTCTTCAATTGTCTTACTTGTCTCCTATTTGTCTCTTTCTCTTGGCCTGTTCTTTGCCATCTTTCTTTGTCTCTTTTTTTGGTCTCTTTCTTTGTCTCTTTCTTGTCTCTTTCTTTGTCTCTTTCTTTTGTCTGCTTTCTTTGGTCTCTCTTCTTTGTTCTTTCTTTGTCTCTTCTTGTCTCTTTCTTTGTCCTCTTTCTTGGTCTCTTTCTTGGTCTCTTCTTTGTCTCTTTTTGTCTCTGTCTTCTTTGCTTTTCTTTGGCTCTCTTCTTTGTTTCTTTCTTTGTTCTTTCATTGTTCTTTCATTTTTCTTATCATTGTTTTCTTGTCTCTTTCATTGTCCTCTTTCATTGTCCTCTTTTCATTGTCTTTCTTCATTGTTTTTCATTGTCTCTTTCAATTGTCTTTTCCATTGTCTATCTTTCTTGTTCTCTATCTTTGTCTCCTTTCTTTTGTCTCTTTCTTTGCCTCTTTCTTTGTCTCTTTTCTTTGTCTCTTCTTGTTTTTCTTTGTCTTCTTTCTTGTCTTTTCTTTGTCTTTTCTTTGTCTCTTTCTATTGTCTCTTTCTTTGGTCTCTTTTTTGGGTCCTCTTTCTCTTTTGTCTCTTTTCTCTTTGTCTATTTCTTTGTCTCTTTCTTGTCTCCTTCTCTTGTCTCCTTCTTTGTCTCTTTCTTTGTTCTTTCTCTTTATTCTCCTCTCCCCCACCATCTCTCTCTCTTCTTCTCTCTTCTCTCTCTCTCTTCATTCTTTATTTCGAATCATTCCTTACTTGGGCATGTTGAGCACGCCGTGCGAGTTTTCGTGATTCCGATCGTGCCGAATCCTATTGTTCAGCCGCATGTGCCTGGTGTAACAAAGGTCAATCTATTCTGGGTTATAGCAAAATCGCTGAATTGGAACTGTGTCAAAACGGTTCAAGCTACTTCGAGACAGTTCCTGCGAAGAAACGTTCCTTGATCAAGTTTGTTTAGAGCCACGCTCTATAAACTGTGTTTGTGTTACCCATCAAAATCAGAAATTTGATACTTTGGTGACCAACATTTATTTACTTTGTTTATTTTTATTAATAAAAAGCAGTTCAAATTATTTCACAATATTTGGGGAGAAGTGTCGTGGGAACGTACAAATTTGCTTTTAAATATAAAAAAATCTTCAATCTTAATTAAAGATGTTTTGCATTGTTTGGTCATTTCTAAGATATATTTCATTAACTTATTAATTAAGACTCAGAATATGTGCTGCCATCAAGATTTGGGTGAGAGATGGGAAAGGAATAAAAAAGCGTAGATAAAAATCCAATTTTCAAGGACACCTTACATTATAAAAATCTAAGATTGAAAAAGCTAAATTACTCGACATAAAAGTAACGGTATTAGGCATTAAAAAGTTGAAATATATTTTTTAGAGATTTGGATCAAATAAATGATATTAGAATGTGAATGAAGTGAAC